AAATTGTTTACAAGGACTGAAAAAAAAAACAATTCCCCAAAAAATACTGTGGGGATTAAAATAAACTTCTATATTTACTTAGGTTTATAGACAACTGCAAATTTTATGTTTTCATTTACAATAGAAGTAGAAAACAATTTTGTATCCAGGCAAAAAACATTGGTTCATCCGAAATGGCGGTTTAAGTGAAACCTTCTACATTGTCTGTTAAAAATATAAAATACCTGAGAATATCCTGTGGATAAAATGGGGCCGAAAATAAATAAAACTGGTATGTAAAGATGCCAGGGGCCAAATCGCTGATTGCAGAATAAATTTGCAACTCATTTTCTGTGAATTAGTTAACTGTATCTTTTGCAATGATGGCGGTATAACTCAGCAAACATTTTTGAAATTGAAGCATAGTCACAGTATAGATATCAATCAGTAGAGACAACTCGCTATTTTTACTGACCCGTTTTCATGGGTGGTCGTTTATCTTGTGACCTTATGAGGGCGCGCAACGCAAGATACTTCTCTTTTTTACACATTGGGACATTGAACTGCGGTACTTTGGTTGTCTAGTGACTTTAATGTGAAATATTTGAAATTTGGCAGTTTAGTTGCATTGGTTTTGATGATTTAAGGCTGATCTTCCGGTGTAATTATTGCAGTTAAGTGAAATTTTCACAGAGACATTTTAAAAAGCGTTGTTCACGTTTTCATAGGACCATTGTTTACTGTTTAATTTTTTTTGTAAAAAAATTAAATGTACATATATTAGCGTTTTCTAATAACGTTGAATTTTACAACCATTTACAGCCATCATGAAAAAGAAATTAATGAAACGTAAAATCGTAGTCAGAAAAGCGGGCCACATCTAAATTTCGACACTGCATCTCTGTTATAGGGCGCTTAATTAATTATTTATTATAATAGACTGTGTGGTTTCTAAGATCAACTAGTTACAAAATGTTATTGTTATTACACTATTTTTAAGTCTTTTCCAAAAATTCATTTGCACAAAGTGTAGTAAATTGTGTACACGAATCAATTTTAAAGTGAAGCGTTTGTGATCCTTTTTAAATTGGGTGGCGACATCTAGAAATATTTTGGGCAACGACCACCGATGACAGCTTAAAATTCGGGTCAGAAAGATCAAAGGCGCCGACACGAGTTGTCTCTACTGATTGATCTCGATACTGTGGCATAGTCTTCTTGTCCGCATAATTTTGAAGTTTGAATCAGTTTTATAGTAGGTAGTTATTTATTTAGTTCTCATAGTTAAGCGTTTCGCTTGTGCAAGTTTCTCTTAAACTTAAATATTTTTACCACTGTAGTTTAAAACAAGTCATCTTGTGGGTTAAAATCATTTATTTGCTTTATATATTTTTTTCTTAAACGAAATAAATGACGTCAGTTCTTTTGTAATTATGTAGAACCAAAAGTTTTTCAAATTATCCATAAATCTTGTTAATTGCAAAAAATTATTCATTTTATTGAAAATATATAAAATACGCGTATGAACAAAAATTTGGAATATGTATTTGGATTCATGTTAATGCACGACAATATATGTTCCCATGCCTCCGGGATCGTGAATGTCTTCCTCGTTGATATTCAGATTGATTGGCTTGATAGTCTGGATTTAAAGTTAAATCGTCATTTTGAAAAAAATTATGAATATTTCAAAATATTCCATATTTTGTCCATGAGTATAATATTAAAGTAAAAAATGTTATACTTTTAAATCATCTCGGCTAAAAGTTAACAAAAATCAAACCATTGCATTTTACCATAAAAGTAAATTAGACCACCGATGAACAAACACTAAATAAAATAAATTTACCGACATTAAAAACAAATCAACGGAATAACCATTTGCTTGCATACCTGCTGTACCTACTCGGCAATAATGATATTTCCAAAGTAACGTACCTACATCTAGATGTCTTGAAGTCACAATAAGCCGTTATCAGTTTAAGAATAGTTATGATATACCAACTCTTTATATTATAAAAGAAAAAAAAGTTGGAGCCAAAGAAAACACAAGATGTAAATTTAGTTCCTTGAAGCCTCTACAAATAAAAAAATAATTTTCATTGAATATCTTCTTTACAACTGGAGCAATGGATTTTCAAATGTGATACAAGATTAGTGTAAAGAAAGATTTGTTATTCTGTTAAAAAGGAGATTTCGTACTACCATTGACTTTGGTTGCACCGTTTGAGAAAACTTCCTATGGTAACACTGTGACGTAGAAAATGTTTGAATACATTATTGTGCAGTGTTGAGATTTCTACAAATACCCGAACCAACACTAATTAAAAACTGGCAGTTTGGTGTACGGCAAAATACAAACAACCTTTATAGTACACGCTATCGTGAAACAAGAATTGTTAGACGAAGCACAAAAACTAAAAGCATTGAGAATATATTTATATTTTCATTTTCCACTAACAGTTCCACAGGGCATTACGCAGTTTTTATATGTACACTGTCGACATTATAAGACGGTTATATTTTCTAAAAATGTGATCATTTATAGGTTATAGCATAGCTAAGCCAGTCCATTGTATACTGTTTGTCAAGTAATTAACATTGCATAGCACAATAAGACAGGTATACAAGATGTATAACTTCATTTGTGCATTCAGCATCTTGCTTGGTAGTAACATGTAATAAGCTTAACACGCTGAATAAAATTACAGCATGACGTCAGGAGCTTTCAGAAGTTAACGGTTTCCAAAGGGAAAAAATTTCTGAAGTTTTATATTAAAAAAAGACGAATAATATGGATTTAAGTTAAGATAAACATTAATAAATAAGAACTAGGTTTTTATACGCACGTGAATGGTTGTTTTAACGGTATACTTATGTTACAGTGATCCGTTTTTATTCTGTTACCACGATAGTACTTATGTTCCAAAGTACATATGTTGTTATTAATTATTATTGTTGTGTGTTTTAAATGTCTTAACTAATCGTTGAAAACAGCAAGACAATAAATATTTAACACATTAGTCAGCAGGTCACTTCATTATCTGTTTCCGTGAAGTTATCTCATATTTATGCAAAATCTAGTTCGACTGGAAGCTACTACGTTGAACCGTCTGTCCAGCTGTTTACTCTCAATTAATTGTTCTTGTCTACATCTATGTGCTGTTATTGTAGCCACCAATGAATAAAAATTTTGTCAGACTAAATATGAGACAATAACCACTGTTGATTGGCCTAAAAGGTTGTATACAATTTGGATGCCACTCAAACTGGATTCATAAACCACAAATACAGAAATATGTTATTTTATAAAATTTCAATGGCATTTATCAAGCAAAATATTGTCATGACGTCAGCAAATTGTTGGTGGGGATGATTAGACAAATTTTGGTTAGATCTACACGATCTTCCTAAGAAACATGTAAAATTTAAGGGAAATTAAATTTCTGTGTAATAGTCGACACAGATGACAGACAGACGAAAACGGGAAACATACTTTTTCTACTCTAGGGGTGATGAAAGTATCCAGTCATTGGATAGACTATACTCTCTTAGCTAACGCTCAGGAAGTAAAAATTATTCATAAATTAGGTATTGTGTCAACCATATCGTCTGTCTTTCTAAATGAAAAAAAGCAGTCCTCGGTTAGACCCTATTACAATACTTTTTCGTAGCTGACCCGCGACATTTTTTATGTAGGTACAGAATCCAAATCGTAAATATATATTTGATGTACCAGTAAAAAAAAGTTTAATATGTAATCTTTAATCTAAGTACATAGTTTAGGAAATAAAAATATACCTTATAAAATTTTATTGCTAATAGCGACAATGGTAAGAACTATGTGTAACTCAAAGTAGTCGCGTGCCAATTCTTACTGGATGTTACACCAATGAAAATGGCCGTAATTTTATGTGTAGAATGCATAAAAATAATAATATATGCGGGATTAAGTTTTATATAAGTACGTAATCCCAATAAAATACGGAGATTTTTTTCATTCTAATGTTAGAAATGAGTACATAGATACAGAATATATAAAATAAATGCAGAATACATAATAGTGCACATAAACAAATACCACTTTGACTCCGATTCAGATGAGTCTTCATTATTCATATTTCACTTATTCTTAAATTAGCGCAAATCCGACCATGTGCGGAAAACTACTTGCCAAATATTCTCCGACAAATTCGGGTGAACTGGTGTGGACCATAAATATTTCGTACCAGTGTTATTTATGAGATATATTTTCATTTTCTAAACAATACTGTCTATTTGAAAATTTTAAACTGTAGCCCCCAAACGAGTTTCATTTGTGTACGTCTTGCATATTAGTGTGTTAATTAGTTTATTAGGTCTTTGTTTTTTAAAATAGATAATTCTTAAGATTGGCAACATTAAATATGCACTTACATAGCATGCTCTGATAAAGATAATTATAGCAAAAAAACAAGCTGTCTAAGAAATTCACACTCTCTTCGCTCGTGATTATTATTGACCTTCATTTATCTCCACTGTTTTTTTTTTTTTTTAACATAACTGTTTCGATATCGTTTTAGGGTTTATCTCTTCTGTTTTCCAAGAATTGGACTTTTTTACATTTTCCTGATAGAGCTTTTGTCAAACTATGTCAATTTTATATATCTTCTTTAAGCATCTATACAAACTGTAGCATCTTATACTGAACTGTGTACCTAACGGACGTTTGGACGCTGAGAAAATTGATACCCCCAAAAATAACATTAAAATTTGTATCAAAACAATTGATATTAATAACCATTGTTGCGCGCTGTATCAAAAAAAATCCGTTTCAAATTTTGTTACCAGAGAACGACAATAATAAATTACAATTTTTGAACACTAACATGACTATAAGTGAAATTATTAAAATAAAATAATTAACGTGTCAGCGATCAACTGTCTCCGCTTCTAAACGTCCTAGAACCTTTTAAAAAGTAGATATGAATCTTGAAAAACACTTATGTGTAAAGATAACTAATATTTGACTTTATTTGCAGCACTGACGAAGACGCCCGTCAAGCTTTTAGCCGAAACAATGGCAAAATCAAGGAAGTTCAAATTAGCCTTATGCTCAGTTCTCGCACAGAAATGCAAAAAGTTATCGAAGCAGCAAGAGCTCAGTCGTATGCAGCATTCATGCAGAACCCGACTCCAGCAGTTCCAATGCCTGCTGCCGTGCCGACAATAATTCCAGCGGCGATACCTGAACTTAAAAAAGAATCTAGCAAAGATCGCGATTCGAAAGAAAAACGTGACAGAAGAAGATCGCGCTCCAGATCTAAAGATCGAAAAGAAAGGCGCGATAGAAGATACAGAGATAGAAGCAGGTCTAGGTCTAGGGAAAGAAGAGAACGTCGCCGACGGGATAGAAGTCGCAGCCGAGGTCGCTCTCGCTCAAGAGATCGCGATCGCAGAAACAGAGACCGTAAACGTTCGCCTGATTACTCCCAAAAAGATGTCAAAAAGCTACCAGAAGTATGGGCGACTCAGAATAACAATGACAACGTTCCGGTTGCACCGCAACCGCCAAGTCTATTTGGAACTTTTCCAGGAAATTTGGATGACGCTCGGCGGAATTTGAATGCTTTAAGCGTTCAAGCAACCGCTAACAGAAATAATTTTCCTATCAACAATTTTGGAATGAACCGTTCACGAGATAGTTGGCCTCCGCAGACAAATAATGACAATGATCAACAGAATTTCCTTAATAGATCCGATGATAGTTTGTCAAACGATGGTCGACCACCACGTCTTGGAGGTGCACCAGCTTTTCCTAGTCGACGTTTTCCACGCAACAATAACTTTCAACGAAATGATAATGACCAGCAATTTTCGTCATCAGATCGTGAACCTCTTCCGAATAGCTGTGTAAGACTGCAACCGTTTTATGGAGGCTATGGTGACATACGGCGATTTTTCCAAGGCTCCTTTATTAGTAATGTGGGTATTAAATTTATCAATGATGATTTTGGTCATCGCACGGGTATAGTGTATATACAGTTTGGACATCCTCAAGGAAAAACAGACGCCTTACGCAAAAATGGCGAAGTACTGAACGGTGTTAAAGTCGAAGTCGCGCATATCGGCGATCAAGAATTTGATGACGCTGTTGATAGATATCAGCCAGATAATTACCAAAATAATAGTGACGAAAGAAGTCACAAGTTTAGAAGCAAAAATATCACGAAGTATTTCAATAAACAGGCTGAACCAGAAATAAAAGTTTTTTCGTGTTTAATAGTAGATGATTTGCCCACCTACGTCAAAGAGCAAGATATTCTGAAACTTTTTTCCCCTAGACCATTGTTGGCACTTTTCCTAACCCCTAAACCAAGGGGAGGTCATATAGCATACGTCAAATTTGGCTCGGCGGACGAAGCCAAGAAGGCTTTAGAAGAAAAATCCAATCACATCGTTGAAGGCAAACAGGTTACTGTTAAACCTTGCGAAGATAGAGAATTCGAAAATATCAGTCAACAGCATAACGTCGATTTAGACTGTAAACCAAGTCCCGTCCCTTCAATAGACACAGATTGTCTGAATTTACTGCACCTTCCTTTAAATACAAATAACGTCGAAATTGCTGATTTCTTTTCGGACATCGGTGTACGACCTACTAAGATTCATCTAATGAGCAATCGTTTGGGTTTTACTGGCCAAGCATTCTGTGAGTTCAAAAGCAAAGACGAAGCTGGGCAAGCTTTAAAGAAAGACAATGCCAGTTTCGGTCCAAGTCAGGTATCTGTGCAACCATTTGCAAGAGAAGAAATGGAACATATCATTCAACAGTCTCAAACAATGAATTCATCACACCCTCCCCAGCCAAGTATTATGCAACCAAGAGTGCCTACAATGTCTCAAAACAGACCTTTCTTTCCAAGGAATAATTTCGACGGAGCACCCAGAGGAGGACCCAGATTTATGGGTCATAGAGCACCAAGGCCCAGGTTTATGAACGCAGTACCCAGTGATGATGCTCCCCCGGGCTGCACTGTATATATGGACAATGTACCCTATAAAGCGGGAACAAATGAAATTTTAGATTTTTTCGACGGGTACGACATCACAAACAACGTGAGCAGAAGATTTAATCCGAACAATACACCTAGCGCTGAAGCAAAAGTCGTTTTCAATTCACCTGAAGAAGCTTATCGGGCAGTACAAGAGAAAAATGGACAAAAAATTTGGGAACGTCCAATATATTTAAAACAAGTATAGCATGACTTGTCCTCTTATTTGTGGTTAAGTTTGTGAATATGGTTAAATTATTTCGAGTGAATAATGAGTGAATGAATGTTGGTTGTGAAACGAAACATTGAAAATGGACCCACAGTGCTAGGGTTTGTTTTTGTCATAGTATTATATCTTTGACTTTTCAGTCTTCAAGGAATTCGTTATATTTTTTGGGGAAATGTATACTTCAGAGCATATTTAGAATAATTTTATAAGTATTTTTAAGCTTTTGTGTATGTGTGCGGTGATGCGATTTTCATTTCAATCGTATTTTTTTTACATCATCCACATTTATTGCACTTTGTAAATACAATAAAATATGCTGTGCATATAAACATGTGTAAATATTATTTTAATTTTGATTATGACATGTTTAGAAACAACGTTTCAAACCTAATTTTCGACAAATTAGCTACTTGATAGAAAGTAAATTGTTTTTTATTTCACTCCTTGTTCATCAGCTTCAAATGACCTTCCCTTTAGCTTTAGCACAGGAACCAGAACGTTGATCACGTTAAAAAATAGCACTTGAATTTTTCGAAATCAAAAATCTAATTAGGTGAATAAAATTAAAAAAAAAAACATTTTTGAGTGTGATGACAGCATTATAAAAAAAGGTATTCAACCAAGTATCAACCCATTTGCGGAATATTCCATAACTGGACCCCCAGTGACTGTCCATATTCGCAATTTCGGTCTATTTCAAACTTGTATCCGTATTTTATGAATAATGAGAATGACACAAACAATAAAACGAACGACGAAACAAAACACAGTGTTCAGAAATGACAAATGAAATGAGCAAATTACTCAAGTGAAGAATGAGATAGAAAACTGTCTTGTATTGCGTTTTCAATGGTTTGGTCTAGAGAAATGGTGGTGTTCCATAAACGGATCATATTCCATATTTGGTCACTTTCCGCTATCGAGAATGGAGAATATTTTGCTTAAGACTTAACTCCCCTCATTTTTTTTTTATGATACTGATCAGAAAGAGCGGACACGTGCGGGTATGTATAATCATAAACACTTAAAGTTGAAGCTTGTTACGATTACTGAAAGGCCATTTTTTCTCGTTACTTTAAATATATTTTACTTGTACAATTTGTACAATCCTTATTATTTGTGCCCCCACCGCGCAGGAAGGGTATTATTTATATCTCTGATTTTTACTTTATAGAGATTATCACAAAGCAAACATCACAAAATCTGATTTTATAATTTTTCAAAGAAGCGAGATTTGTTGGACATATCTTTTAGGCGCGAGGGACCTTCTGTCGAAATAAATTTCGACCAATTTTTTTCTAAAACTACTACTAGCATGATTATTTAGTCTACACGCAAACAGTAAATACTTACTGGTCTCCACTGTTATCACTTCTCAGACACTTTAAAAACGTACTATAATAAATATTCGGCTTTGTGTAAAATGTATTTACATATATATAGCTTATATATATATAAATGCGTTTCTGGAATTCAACTTTTACAGATTATTACTACAGATGGTAAGAGCATTCTTTGAGTACACTTTTCAAGAGATGTTTCTTTCCTAGATTTGAGATATTGAGGTACCCTGTATTAGCGTATTATTATAGTAATCATTATATTAAGGTGACTGTCGTCTACATTCAAATATTTATGTGAAGTTCAGGTTCATTGTGTTTCCAAAGTTTTGGAAAATGTAGACAAACTGTTACGGAGATAATCAATAGAATAAATCATTCATACTGTTTCGTTGAACGGGTATTTAAATTTGGCGTGGGTTAAACTCAACAATTTATTTCTTAGTAACTCGAATTTACCCAACTAATGACAGATCCGTTATGTCCATCAATTCCGAGAAGACAGGAATGGATTTGCCTAGACTCTACTTCTTCGATTGTCTGGACTTCACTGACTGCTCCCGACGGTGATTCTCATTTAAGCAACCACGCGGTTCTTCTCGAAGGTCTCCGTCACCGCTTCTAGGCTTGTTCTGGAACACCCATCGCGACTTATGCTTCCAGACTTTTCTTTAGCGAACGCCACCCAGCCATCGTCACCAACTATGAGTCACCCATCATCGCCGCACATACTAGAAAACCCATAAGTGTCGTACCGGGACGGCGTATGGGTTATTTCGTAACAATACATTAATTTCTTTCGAACATGTAGGTAAGCCCTAAAACACGAAAGAACCTTGCATTTCAAGAGTTATATGATGTCATAGACCGTATTTCTTAATAAACATAATTTTTTTTGTGAATATTCCATTTACCTTTCTAACTATTAATGACCTGTTATTATTAAGTCAATATTATAGTGTCGGTAAGTTTCAATGATAAATTATAAAATGTGTGCGTCTTTTCATTCACTCGTATACGTAAAGTTGAAAACAAGGATATATATTTATTATTTTTATTTATTACATCGCATTATTATACAGCCGAATATGTCTCTTGCCGCATTTCAAGTAAAATTTACGTAATGACAAATTTTTGAGTTGACGTTATGACTTTTTGCAGGAGGAATTTTGAATTTTGAAAATTTTTACTTAATTTTTCAAAAAGTTCTAACAGCTGAATCGGCAAATTGGAATTAGATAACCTACATTTTCGTATGCTACAACCTCCGAAACGTAAAGAAAATCTGAAATTAGGTGTTTGTCAAAATTTTTTCAAATTTAATTTGTTGCTTGCCGAGCGTAAGCGAAGAAAGTATTGTTACGAAATATACCCTTACAACGCCTATGGCCGGCGAGAACTCTCTGGTCTTACGCCGGTGATGATTCATCCTCAATGCAACTAAACGACGGAGCGCTAAAGAAACGCCTGGAAACGGAACTCGCGAATGGGAATTCCGGAGAAGTCCAGAAGCGGTGACGTAGGGTTTCGAGAAGGACCGCGTACTGTTTAAATAGCGTCCACCTAGTTGAGTCAAGAGCGTCCAGTGAAATTCGCGGGAATAATTTCTGTATATAATCCTTGCAATAGTAGTCGTATAAATTCGAGATATTAAGAAATAAATTGTTGAGTTTTAATCCACGCCAATTTTTATTCGCCCGTACAACGTAACAGTATTGTAATCGAGTGCGTTGGCCGACTCTCTAATTTTACGTTTTCTCGACCTTTCATGGCCCCTACAGGACAAAGAAATAGGTGTCCCGGTTCCGTCTGTCTGTCTGTCCATTTGTCTGCCGTGACGGATTTTTATAGACAGATAATCTCCGAAAGTACTGGGCCGATTGTTGTCAAATTTTGTATTTATATAAGGAATACTTGTCATGTAGGTGGTAAAACGCTAACCAAAATTTCTCTAATCATCCCCACCACTAATGCGATGACGTCACTTCAAAATTATACACAGCAAATGGGTTTTAAATTGTATAAAATAACATAGTCCTAAACATGTAGTTTATGACTCCGAATAGAGTTTTTACCCGAAAATACCAGATTTTTGGGAGAAAAGCAAAATTAACAAACAACATTTTGGAATTTAATTTTAAATCTGCTAAACCGAATGCTTTGAAATCTTGCAGATGTTTTAACGTTATAACGAGCATATTAAATTTTTAGTCAAAATATATAGTTCCTTATTCCCTCCAAAAAATTGATGACGTCAGCTCAAAAGTTTGCGGAATAATTCCTATCTAAAATGTACAAAATATGATGAGTCTGTACTTGTAATTTATCATTAAATTCATATTTTTTGGATTTGCATATACAGGGTGACTCAAAAAAATTAATGAGTGCGTAAATTTATTTTATTGATTTAATCAGGAACTACAAAACCGAATGCTTTGAAATCTTGCCGAAGCAGGGTAAATTTTTGATCAAAATGAATCTGCTCATCCCCCTAAAAATTGATGACGTCACCCCAAAATTTTGCTGAATCAATCTTATCTAAAATGTACAAAATATGATTAGTCTGTACTTATGATTTATCATTCCATTAATATTTTTTGGATACTTTCATTAAACATTTTCGTATTTTCTTAAAATACAGTACCTTGACCTAATATAAAGTAGATTAAAACAATGATAAAAAAAAACTATGTAATGATTTATAGAGGAAAATTGTTTTTGTGTCGAAACAGATAAGGATATTAAAGCTTCATTTTGAACATAAAAGATACTTATGAAAGGGTCGACCGCCTGCTGGTTAATAGTTCTTTATCAGTCGAGTTCCAGAAGCCATTACCAAAAATGGTAAGAGAGATAACCAACTTTTTCAAATCATGTAGTAGCATCATTGTTCCTGAACACGATTTGAACTGGATGCGTCAAATCCAATTCTACTCAAACTGATGCATGATTATTGATTACTAAATCTTGAGAAAGCTTTGTTAAGTCCAGCTGTTTCGGGAATTAATGCAAATAGTTTCAAAGTAAGTAGTCAACAGACGAATTTAATCACTTTACAATTAATATGTTTTCGATCAAGAATTTATTAGAAAATATTAATAATGTCAAAGTAATGGTTTATAAAATGCGAATACCTAAATGTACTACTGACTAATTTCATTTAAGACTGGCAGATATTTCGCTCAAAAGTTATTTTTTTATTTCTACTCAAATAAAGCTGAAAATACATTGTTTTGCAATCATTTTTTACCGAATGATATATAAAATGCTACCTACATCATGTTTTTCTAGTGTAAGTTTTTTTCTAAATGAATCTTTCCCTTAATTTTCATTTTGTAAACGTTTGAACCAAAATTCTCCCATAAAAACAAAGGGCGTCAAATCTGGCCATTCTATAAGACGTCGTTTGCCAATCTACTGTCTCACAAGAGCGGCATAATGCAGGCGTGCTTCATTTTGCTGAAATATCAAATTTTTAATAAATTTGGATCTTATTGAAAGACTTCAGTTACACGCGGATAAAGCGGGATTTGCAGCAAATTCAGATAAATGTCAGCAGTCAACCCTTCCTTTATACTAGCCCTGCAGTATAGTCATTTTCTAGCCCTAACTAACAAGTTAGGTATGAGTTTGCTGCAAAATTTTGATTATTGTTAATAATGTACAAACTTGACAAAATGAAGATGTCGATGAAAATTATCTTCATTTTATTCATGTAAAAGTTCAATTTGCGCGGATAAAACTAATGTCTATGAAGAATTCTAAACACGTTTTCGCGGGATATACTTTCTATACTTGCGATATCTTGGTAACAGATTCCGTGAAGGCAACGTGACTCAAAACAGTAACAGCAACAGCCTATCACTGACTACCCTGCTAGGCTGCTAGGATTACGTTCCCTTTTCAGCCAGTTTCCATAAATTTGTTCATTAAGCTCATCACGTATTTGTGCCTTACATTTTTCCCCGGATGATTGTTATTTAAAATGCTAGCATTGA